AAGCTTCACTAGCATTAATAGCTTCATAATAGGGGGTTACAAAAGGTTTTGGTTATCATTTCCAACATAAAAAAGCAAAGCAACGTTAATAAAACTTACGAGACTCAATATTTACAATGACAAATGAAGATCACGCAAAGTTCAAAAGCCCAATAAAAAAAAAAAAAAATGCTTTTTGCCATTTCTTAACACTAAGATACATCTGAAAATTTAGGAATTTTTCCTCACTATACACATGCAACATATATCATATTATTACACATGAAATGCAGAAATGTGTATATGTAATTCAGAATCGAATATAGTCTTTCAAAGCAACTGAATAAACAGGCCATTCTCATTTTATTATATCACCTCATTTACTGCTTTAAAACACATTCGAATTAGTCACACAACTGTAAACAGGCATGCACAGTACCTTACAAAAATAAGAAATTTTGATATAAATGTGAATTTATGGATAAAATTTAATAAAGTCTGTAAACTTTTCCTTTTTCTTGGGGAGGGAGAGGAATATCACCGATGATTCACCAAATTTAAACTGAATTCTGGTACAATTCTAAAGGCAATATCTTTTGATGACTCCAAAAACAGCTTTAGGCAACAGCAACTTTGGAATACCACACCCCAAACTTCTGCAATCAGCTGAAGCAATATATATTGAGATTATGAAACAGATACTGATATAATACTGCTGTATTGTATTTTTAAATGAGGGTTAGTATTAAGAAAACATTGATTCAAAGTTCTAATATGTGAAAAGTATTAAATGATAAATTGTAGCCTCAAGTATAGAGCATCGAGTCAATTTTTTTTCAAATATGAAACACGACGTAAAATGTTTTAAGCATTTCCGGTGCTCAGCATAAACAGAAAATGATCTTTGTGTGAATTCAGGTACATCAAAAATTATTTACGAACAGTTCTGGCTAAATATATTTAAATAACTTTTTAATAAAGTTAACTGCAAACTTTAACCAAGAACTTGAAAATATTCAGATTCAACAAACTTTTCAAAAAAGTAGCTGAACATTGGTAGTTCCACAGTCAGCACTGGTTCATTGAATAGAAACAGGCTTTTCTTGATTATGCAATTCCTCTTGGTTCCTCTGATAAACAGCAGCCAAGACTTTTGTGCATTTATGCAGACTTTCCATTGCCTGCACCAATCTTGAATGAGTGAAATCTTGAAACCAAATATGTAGCTTAAAAACAGCGTGATTAACATTTTCACATTTTACCACTAAAGGAGTTTCATCTACACAACATGCTAACAGGGGGTTGCAGATCAGCTTTAGGAAGTCTGATACATAAAACATATACAATATGTCCAGTTATCGATCCTTTGGGGATGCCAACGCTGATGGGAATTGCGAGTTGTCGACCAACACTTTAAGCTCTGACAAGACAGGAAGAAGTCAAGAAGCTGGATGATTGCTCTCTCAAACTTCATGGTCAATGAGTTAATTGATAAGCCCCTCATGTTAGATGTGGACGAAAGCTTTTGCCAAGTCTAGCACGAGGAGAGCAAAGTTCAACTTACAGTGCAGGGCAGCCATTGTACTCAGTGATTCTGATGATGGATGACTCTCTTGAAGATTTTGCCAAGGCCACTTGGTTTCAGAATCAGTATAATTTTTGCCTTTCCCACTGAGGATGAACTTCCTATTTTTATATACAAACTGTAAGGAGCACTGCAGTTGCCCACGATATACACATGCACTGTAATCATAATCATTTATGTATTCCATCATGGCATATGCATGATGCAAGTTTCATGCTGTTTGGATGCTTTCTTCATGGTGTTGCATTTTGGATGGCCAGCAGTTTACATGCTTCAGCTTCATACTAAATGCTTTTGCCACTGTGCTCATTTTGACTGTGGTAAAATTTTTCTAAATGTAAGAAATGCACTTATTCCGATAAATAATAAATGAAACAGACTGACACACTTTACAAACTTTTTTTGACAATACTTAATTTGAAAACAAGAACACTATTATAAGAATAACATGTTTAATTTGACATTTCTGTAGAAAATTGCCTGGTGCATATTGTCTTCAAACAGAAAAGATCTATCCTGTGTCCTGAGCTACTGTTAGCTGAAGTATTATTTTTTAGGGACTAGTAGCTTACAAGAAGTTACTTCATTTAATGCTTTTTCCCCCTCCTGCTTTCAGAATTTGATATACACAGAATGTGAGAATTTTAAAATTTGTAACTGTGGAGAACATATTTTTCTAAGAAATCCTGGTGTGGCTGAACCTTGGTTGGTTCCTAGCCTGGTTGGAAAATGGAAAAAATATTAAAGCGTGGTATTTTATAAGCTATACACTTCACGCACTTAGAGAAACCTCCTTCAATGACAGCCTAAACAATATCTTCATGAGGAACATCTGATGGCAATTCTGTAATAACAATTTGGTAACTTAAGGTCTTCTAGCTTAACTAACAAAGTTTTCAATATTATACAGTAAAAGTCTTTAATCTGGACTCGTTGGGACTTTTCCGGATTAGGGATCATCAATTTAAATCTGGTAAGATGGCATGCAGAAATTATACAATTAAAAATATGAAACTAATATGTTATAAAGAGCAATTATGATCTAAAGGGTATCAAAATGTACAATAAAAAAGCTTAATATTTATTTGGTTACTTTATTAAAAAATTTTTTCAACTCGTGCATGCGTAAAGCATACATTATGCATAGTCGAAATTAGAAAATTGCAACCAGAAAACTATCTGATGTGTATTTGTGATATTTATAATGACGAGGAAATTGATTTAAATCATATCAGAGTACATCGAGATGAAACACTACATTTAGTAAGGAATTACAAGCTGAATAAAATAAAAACATCTGCCCTGAAGATAAGGATTGCTGACTTCCAGTCATTGCGCGCCTACGTCCCCCCCCCCGCAAGAGCATGAAATTATAAACAGCTTCGGAATTGTAAGAAAAAATCACCTCTCTGTTACTTTCTTTTTTTCCATTTTTTGGCAGCAATTCCACTTTTTGTTTAATGGACATTGAAATATACGTTCGCTTTGTGTCCTTTATCCAGATTGGAAACTCTTTTGATATCGAAGTTCAAGCTTACTTTTTATAAAAATTCCAACAGTTCTGCAAAAATAATCAGTCGGATCCATTAGAGATTAGAACAACGCATCTGCAACTTAATGAAATAATGAATAGATAATTTTAGCATAGCTTATACCGTTCATTATACATTAAACGCGCATGCATAAACGTATTATGTGCACGCGTAAAATGCATGCACAAAGGTATTATTCACATGCGCAAACACATTATGCGTTTACACATGTGCGGAAAGTTTGTAGCTTTGAGGTTCAGATTATGGACGTCCGGATTGAAGACTTTATACTGTAATAGCAAAATTGATGATCCTCTGATCCCCCTACCACAAATATTTTCAAATAACTACCACTGATGCAATCGCCCAAATGCAATCTTCACGCAAAGCTTATTTATGAATATCTGATGCATCTTTCAATTCTCTCAAATTTCCAAAATTAAGCATTACAATTTTTGGTGTCATTTAATATTACTTATTAGTGTGTATAAATGCATTGTGTGTAATAAAATTTCTGATGCAACGATGAAGATGCACATTTATGAAGCTTGGCGCATAAACAGAGCAGCAATCGTGGAGGTGTAATACTCCTTTATTCTTACCAACAAGCATATTATCAAACATAAAATGCATAGCTGAAGTAGTGAAATTTCAATCCCATTCTCAATCAGTTACACATGTGCTTGTTTTACATTTTTATAATGAAATATTCGGGAAAAAAAAAAAGCAGATAAGAGGTGACATTTCTACAGAGCAACAAGGAAGAAAAAATTGTACAGACAATAATATGAAGGTTTGGCTTAGAATGATACAGTTTTGGAATTATCCAATTTAGAGGGGTTTATTAAAAGCATTTTACTATTTTGTGGACAGAAATGGGAAACAACCAAATTAAATAAGAGATTTATTGGCTATTACAAATTAAAGTTAGGTTATTTTATATATTTTTCCTCTTACATATATGTATTCTATTGATTTTTTCCCCATTCATAAAAACAGCAATTATTAATTTCTAGCTATGATGAAGAAAACAGACTGTTATTTAATGAATGCAAAATCATCAATCAACAAGGATTAAAATTCAGTTTCAAAGATCAACTAAGAAATCCTTACCCATGCAAAATATTAAATCATATATATATATTAACGTCACATTATACATAATTATAAAAAAAGGGCCAAAAAATTTTTAATATGGAATCTTGTTTAGAATTTGAATAGTAAATATATACAATCATCTACTGGTCAGCAGATCAAAATTTCACTCCACCTAAAAGGTTTTAAGCATCTATTCCATTTAATAAATCAAATTATACATAAATACATATAAAACTTCTTACTAAAACAATATTTTGTAGAGTAAATATATATAACAGTGTTTAAAACAAAAATCTGAACTATGACTAAGACAGCTAACTGTAAAGAATTATACTAATTTGAGAATATATTTAATCAAACTTACCTGATTCTTAAAAATTATTTAGCCTTTTACATAACACAAATACAGTTTACACGACCAGATCTTTACACAGATTTAAGTCTTTCATAACACAGGTCATACTTAACTGAATGTAGTGACTCTCACTGTTTCTCGGAGTATGCATACAAATCCATACCTGGTATAACCTTCAAAGCATTAGATAACTTCTGAGATTTTTCAGACCTTTATATTATTTTAACTTACCTCTAAAAGGTCTACTAAATTTAATTCCCACATGTCAACGTAATGCATATGCCATGAAGACTAAGATCCCAACAGAATAATGTAATTCTTATTCTTACTTTTGTAACTTTTTAAATGCAAGTTAATCCTTTATGGTACCAATGCAACTTATTCATGACAGAAGGTGGGAAAACATACATTTAGCACTGAAAATGAACTAAATTTTTATAATAAATATTACCTGAGTTGTTAGACAATTGAAACCAAACTTTTTTCTGAAGAGTCGAACAAAATGAGACACGTAAGCACCTTCCCACATGCCCCGTATGATCTCATACGGATTCCCATCTGAAAACAGAAAAAGAAGACTGAGCAATGATATAAAAAATTCACTAAATTTGAGAACAGTTATAATCAATTTCAAAACTACAGATTTAAATTTTATACCTAATAACATAAGCTACAGCAAGCCGTTTTTGTTACTTTCATATATTTGGCAATTGTAATTACTACTTTTATTAACAACTATGGACTTTGGTTTTTCATTAACAACTTAAAATAGCACCGACTAAAGAAAAGCGATTTGGAAAAACCATTCAGAATGAACCAGTGGCACACTTTTGGGTAATATCTCTTATATAATGAAGGATAAATGAAGTAAGCAAAAAAAAAACTTAGATAAATCAACTTATCTAGAGTAAGCACTTTGAGTTATCGACATAGAGGGAAATTAAAATATCTTTTTCACAATGTAAACTTTGAAAGAACAGACATATAATTTGGTAAATTATTTTTTCTTTCAATACAAATGCTTTTATAGGTTTCTTTTGTTGGGAGGGGCTCACTATTAAACAATGCAATGGTTCAGCACTTAGAGCACAATGGATTTATGTGCAATAAAGATTGTTTTAAAACACTTTTAAAAACATCCTCAATGACAATTTGCTTTTGTTTTGCCACTAGATGCAAACTATTTTTTACACTATGTCCTGATTTCCAATTCATTTTTATACCACCTTAAAACCTGATAAATTGATAAATCTCATTCACAGTTAATAAGGTTGCTTGTGGGTGTTTGATTCCTCTGAGCTATCGTCTTCATCAACAGTGTCTGAATATGCACAGTTTCAAAAAATGAGGGAGAAAGCTTCCCCGTGTGGTAACGTGTATACGAGCCAGTTTCCCTTAGAAAGTCCTCCCTGAAGGCATCCCTCATCCTTAGGCAGATAGCCCTTGAGGCTTTCCCATAATTAAATAACCTAACCTATTGACTCGGATGGGATCTTTCGCCACACCCACCATACAGCCCCAAAATCGCTCCTTCAGACCTCTGCCTTTTTTCACACCTGCAGCTTCATCTTGTTGGTGCTGCAGCCACCAAGTTTCTGGGCTGAAGGCTTTGAAGAACTACAAAATGTTGGCAGAAAATCATAGATTTTGGTGGTGATTACTACCCACACTAAAGGTACTGATTTTGTGTTCCCCCCTAACTTTATTAAGAACGTTTTTCGGCGGAAAACTTTCATTACAACCAGATACAAATTCTTGAAAAATATCCTTTTTCTCTTAACCTACAATATTAATTCTTGCAGTGGTTTATTTTCAAATTTTCACCCAAGTTTAGTTCAAAAATATACCAAAAATATCAAATATGTCACATACATTATTCATTTATTAATATGACTGGTTCAGAAATTAAGAAGTACCATAATTTCACAGGAAATCTCTGTTTTGCCTCTTATGAGATATATTTCTTTCCAGCTGGTTCCACATTCATTTATGCCATGCTCTTGCATGAGCTCAGATTTTAATTAACCACTTGCGCTAGAACTAAACTTCATGGTTGCGGTGCCGTGCGCTCCAATATAACAAGCGATAAAGTGTCTCATTTACGCCGCTCCATGTCTGCGAGTGCAATCCATAGCTGTAACTCGAGAAATAAACAATCTCGTTGTTAGGTGACGTGTGCACCACGTTATTTTCATTTTTGCGATAAATGCCTATCGACATGCAGTTCACGTCGCTCGCGGTTTGAGATAAAAGCATCTCGATGTGCGTGGCACGTCTTTTTAGCGCAAGTGGTTTATAAGTGAGCATACAGTTTAATCAGATTAATTTTATTGGTGATGAGCTACTATGCAGAATTTAAAAATTTTTCAGTTCAACTTAAATTTTAATCGCTATACAAATAACATGGATCTTTGTATTTAATAAACAACTGTTGAATTAAAGTTCGAAATAATTCAATACTAGCATATACACCGAAGAATCATTACATTATGACCATCCTGTTAATAACATATAGGACCACTTTTAGTTCTCAGAACGCCAGCACCAGGCATGGCATTGACTCCACAAGGGGCTGATACTAGTCTGAGGTATCTGGTACCAAGTGCTCACCAACTGGTCCTGCACACTAAAAGGGGGTAGTGTGGCAGTACAAATTTGGTTTTCCAGGTGGGACCACAAATGTGGATCAATGTCAGGTGAATTTGGAGGCCAAGACATGATTTGAAAGAAACTGGAATGTTCTTCGAACCACTTCCTGATGATTCAACCCTACACTGCTGCATAGGTCCCCCATGCAACAATGTGCGCTGCACGAGAAACATTGTCTCACTGTTGTATCTCTTCGGCCATAGTGAGCAACGTGTAGCAGCAATCTCACTCTCCTCTGGAATCAATACGCCATCGACAAAACACTGGTGGCTGGTGGCTTAGCATTTCATCACCCATACACCACTTTCGATATGTGCTCATAACAACTGCATGTACACAGCCCACTAAACATACCATTTCTGATACTGATGTTCCCAGTCGCTGAGCCATAATGATCTGACCTTTATCGAAGTCTGATAAATCAGCTGCTTTTCCCATTATGTCACTATTTACACTATGTTTGGAAAGACAATAAATAGTCGCTTTATATATTCCAACAGTGGCCACGCATGTGCAGTGGTTTTGTTCCTGGGTGAGTTCATTATTATAGATGGAGGGTGGTCATAAAGTAATGGCTCTTTGATGTATATATAGAAGCATATACGTACACACACACATATATATGCATATAACATACATATTAATTTTACGTTATCCCCCTAAGTTCATCTTTTCTCCCAAATTCGAGATATTTCCAAAATCATATGACACTTACATAATGCTGCTTGCAAAGAGAATTACAACCCAAAATTAACTAATTGCAGTTTACCTGTATATACGCACCAGCCTGTTCACGAGCAATTATGTCACTCTTTCCTCAACTTTTGCTGTCCTTTGAAACATCTCTGCGCTGTTATGCTTAATTATCTAATTTGTTCTTTAATGATGTAGTATTGTTTTTAACCCACGCACATAAAAATTATTGTAGTTAACTTTAATCTAGAAATATCTTACACACAAAAAATGATTTCATGTGCAGAAAAAAATATTCCGAGTCTCCGAATTCAGTTTTGTCAGGGTCATCTTCATGCATCTACACTCAGTCTTTACGACTGCCAAATGTTAAAAGTACCGCTTTCTTCCATCATCACATTACTTTCAAGCAGCGTGTACTAAAATATTATATATATCATACATATCATAATATATATGCATTATATCATACATATAATGCATATACATACATATATGTATATACATCATTAACAAGAATCAAATTTGCATGAAAGTATTACAAACTGAAATGTGGAAATGATTAGCACTTCCATGCATGTTCACAAAGCAGATAGGAGTAATGCCATCTACACTGTATATAAATGGGAAGACTGAACAGCAAGTTCTTTATTTGGAAATGGCATTTCAACACATTGTTTGTGTAAAATGTCATATTATGCCTCATGTAAGGAGAAACTCCTAACAATATATGTAGGAATTCAAATACAGCAGGATCAAGGCTTATCACTGCACAGCATTGCAACTGCTGTTGTTTGGGATCCCATAACTGTCATCGATGGATCCATGAGAGCCATACTGAACGAATGCCATGTAGGATATCAGCAGCCCATGGTGATTAATGCCCAAGGAGACAGGCAAGTTTTCCTCTTACAAAATCACACATTCATGTTATGTACCCTGAATCAGAACTTGGCTCACATTCAAGTGTCTCCACAGATAGTATGATAACAAGTGCAGCACCATGGACTGTCAATGCGGCAACCATTGTTATGGCTTCCCTTGATGCTACAGCAAAGAAAGATATGCCTAGAAAGGTGGGACAAATGACACCACATCATCTTTTCAAGTGAATCCCATTCTGTGTATAGGATCATAATGGACGTGTATGTGGGTAGACCAAGAATGAATGTTGCTAGCAGGCATTTGTCATCATCACCTGGTTTGCTGGTATGGAAATACCATTGGATAAACATCTCAGTCACTTCCTCTTCACATACTGGGTAATGTGGACAGCTGCCACTGCATTTTAAATGTGTCCTATTTTTGATACCTGCATGACAGAACCTTTTCAATAAGATAATGCAGACCACATGTCGAACATGTTGTCCTGCACTTCCTCAATACTTAAAAAATGTTCGATTGTTGCCCAGGTGAGCACACATTCCCTAGACCTCTCAACTGCTGAGAATATCTGGTCATAGGTTGGTAAAAAAACTGACACGCTACCACGCACCAGCTGTTACAATTGATGAATTCTGCCATCCACTTGGAATAAAAGAAGTACCTTTATCTGTCATCCAAGCTTGGTCTGACTGCATGCCCAGTTGGATTACAGATGTTACCAGAAGTGGCAGATCTGTGTGCTAAATTCAGCATGCTGCATATCCCAAACCACATACAAATTTAATATCTTCCTTCCATTATGCTGTACATGCACAGTAAATAAAATCCTACTATTTGCTTTGCTTTGTTCCTGGTACAGCAATTTGAATGGCCAGCAGCATATTAGGCTGCTTAAAACTTACAAGCTTACAAGGTAATTCATATCAATGTTAAGAATATATTCTAAATAATGAAAATGTAATCATAACAATGATTTTACATGAAGTGTGTAAGGGCCTCATTTTAAACTAACCAGTTATTATGGTTTGGATATGTACTTTAACTTCTTCTTTCCTTATTCCTTACCAAAATGCAAATCAATTGTTTGTGTATTTATTAAGCTGTAGTTTGGGGACTTTGCGAGAGAGTTCGTGCCACTAGAGCAGGATGTTTAGTTTCAGCCAGCTCTAGCAGTTGTAACCATCTTGGCTTTGTTTTCTCTCATCACTAATACTTTAAACTCATGTGCTGGTAATTTAGTGAGCTAGCTTATAGCTTAATATTTAAATATGTAGTATTAGAGTACTGATAAATGTTTAAATTTAAATTGACTGTTCTTATTTATTTG